TCAGGCTGTGTAAGAAAAAGCTCGGACCCGTTTTCAGGACAGAAGAGGCCATCTTGGGGGTTAGCCTCCATCGAACAACAGCCGTTGGTGCCAATTCTGCGCCAATAGGAACCCCCAATTTGAGGTGGTGTGAAGAAGGGAACTTTGGTCAGTGCAAAACAGCTCAACTGTGATAGAGCAGGGCTGTGAGGCAGCCCCTCTCCCACTGGACAGGTCTGCTCTGCTCTGGCGAGAGAGCTCCTGTGTGTTGGCTCAGCCTGGAGACTCCGCCTCCGAGGAAAGGGAAAGTGCACTTTCCCAGCCACAGGGGAGCTCGCTTATATGGACAGGAGTCCCCGCCTCTGGACCATGATTGGACGATCCTCATGCAAATGAGGCCTCCAAGTCCTCACAGTTCGATTGCTCCAAAAGGCACTGTTTTGATTGGTCAGAATAGAGCCCCTCTGATTGGCCAGAGCTGAGCAGCTCCAATTGGTTGGGGAAGTCTCAGTCCTACTGGTTGAACAGGACTTCAGGAGCGCCTTCACAGAGGCTGGCTCAGATGGCAGGAACGCAGGGCGGTCAGCGGGTTCAGCGCAGAGGCCGCTCGGTGAGGTGCAGAGTGGGCGAGGGGCCCCGTGCAGAAATGGCCACTAGCCTCTGCTTTTTCATTTGAGTCCAGTTAGCCACCAGGGTCCCTTCTTAGTCGGTGTCTTCCCCCACTCCCCTCGGGGTTCACACTTCGCACTGCCGTCAACTCTGGAAGGGACGAGGATGTCCATGGGGCAGACATCCAACCTCCCTGAATTCCAGCCCCGGGAAGGGCCTGATTGGGCCAACTGTATTTCCTCCTGAGGAGGGAACGGGGAGCACGGGAGGCCCTTCCTTCGGTGCCCTGCCCTGCTGTGGTGGCTGGCAGGGCCTTCAGCAGGAGGTGACCACGGGGCCTCGCACTGGAGCTAGAGCTGTGGGATTAGTGATGGCCGCCCACAGTATTGCTAAGTCCTCCGCTGAACCTTCACAAGTATCCGCTCGTGTAACACCGCTGTGTGTCCTCACACGGTGAGTCACAGGTATCCCACCTGGAAGCTGAGGCTCCCAGAGGTATACAGACTTGCCCGTAAGTCGTTGAGTAGGTGGCAGAGCCAGGTGCTCAGCAGACCCCTCTGACCCGGGAATCCATGATTTCCCACCCCGCCCTGCCCCCCACCACCTGGCCTGACCCTTGCCGAGGGGCCGCTGACCTGGAGACTCGGTGTAGGGTGGGCAGGTGCCTAAGGACAAGGGAGGGGGCAGGAGGTTTGATCCAGACGTGAAGGATGACGGGCTGACAGGCAATAGTGGAAGGAAGGGCATGAGCACAAAGGCCTGGCGGCTTCTGAGTCCCAGGCACGTGTGGAAAGCCTTGGGGTGGCACATGGCAGGGGTGGGGAGGGGGACTGGCGGGAAAGGTCAGCCCCGCCCCCTGCCGAGGCCTTGACCGGAGGCCGAGAAGGAGGTTTACTTGGAGACCAGCCCTCCCTGAGGGCAGGGCGCCTTGTTCGTCAGCTGTCTCAGCACATCGTCCTGGCGGGGCGCCATGGGAAGCCACAAGGCCTTCTGACTCCATGTGAAACGCCTTTGGTGGTTCCTGTGCCGATGGCTCAGGGTGGGGCCGGGTGGTGGTGGGCAGTCAGAGCTGGGGGGTGGTCTTCCCTTTCTCCGTCTGCCTCTGCTCGGTGCCGGCTCCAAAACCATCTCCGGCGCCTGGGCACAACCCGGAGCTTTCAGCACGAGGGGCAGGGCGGGGTGACCCGGGGAGAAGGAGGCCCCCAGCGAGGAGGCCGGGCCCTCCTCGGTCCCCCGGAGCTTCTGGCCCTCTGTGCCCTCCACACCCTCCAGCCTCACCCAGAGCTTTGGCAGGAAGACCCGAGTATGTCTAACCCTTTATCTGGTAGCCAGATCCTCCGGCCCTGTGGGGTCCTCCCCTTTCTCCGGAACCCTTTCCCAGCCCAGGGCAAACATGGCTCCCTGGAGGTGTGGGCCCAGCACTGGGAGCCCTGGGCTGGGCAGCGGCCTCAGAGCCAAGAATCACAAGCTCAGCGGGGGTGCAGGGCCTGGGAAGCGCTCACTCACCCACGGAGGTGAGGTTGAATCTGTTCTTGCTCCCGCCCCCTCCCCTGGTGTCAGAGTGATTTATGTGCAGATGCTGAGAGGAGAGGCTGGGGGCTAGGCCGCCTCAGGGCACCTTCCTCCCTGCTCCTCCTGGGGCCGCCATCCTGCCACGGGCTCAGGAGGAAGGGAAAGGGCCTCACTGCTGTGTGACCTCAGGCAGGCCCCTTCTGTCTCTGGGCCTCCACTGCCTTTGAAATGGTCTGAAAACCAGCCTCAAATACAAAATCGCCAGAAGGACCAAGTGAGAAATTAGAAGGCAAGCGCCCAGCTCAGAGCCTGGCACAGGGCAGGACCCACGGCACCCTTGCTCCCAAGCCTGCTGTGGCTCCCCTGCTCTCCCAGTCTGATCCTGCTGGCTTCTGACTTCATCTCCCCCGTCTCCCTCCTTCACTCCACTGCAGCCCCACTGGCCCCAAGGAACCCCTGCCCGGAAGCTCCCCCACCAGGACCTCACAGCCTGCCCCCTCACCCCACCTGGACAACATAAAGTAAAATAGGGTCCCTCCTCACCACCACTGCCCCTCCTCACACAGCATTCCCTTCCCCCTTCAGGCTGTTGTGTTAACTTTCTCCTTAATAGTTTCCACTACCCCCCAAAATTCTTGTATTTATTTGTTTCCTGTCATTCTCCCTGTTATGGCCAAAGGTGATCCTGAGGGGGGTGGGGGGTGAAAGGATTGAGAAAAGACAGACAAGAGAATAATAGCTAGGTCTTGGTGGGACGCTGCTCCCTGATGAGGAGACTGCACCAGTGCCCACAAGCCGTGTCTTTATTTTATAGTAGATGCCACGAGGCAAAGTAGGGGCGTGATCAAGTTGTTTACAGCATTCTCGTGAGTTCCAACCTCACTCAACTACATGCACCTGAACTCTATCACAAGGCACGTGGGGCTACGTGTTCGGACCATAGGTTCAAGCTTACAACCACAGCCGTTGGCTATAATTGGGCTGGGAGGGCCCTGCCCTCCAGCTGGGACTTGCATGTGGCAATGAGAGGACCCTGTCCTTTCATTAGTCCGAGGCTTGAACCTGGCCAAAACACTGTAGCCTCGCCCTATACTCCCCAGTGAGAATGTCAGTTCCACGAAGGCAGGGGTCCTGTCTCTTGCTGCCCGAGGGATCCCTGGAACAGTGCGTGGAACAAAGTAGATGCTCAATAACATGGAGGGGCGGAAGGTGAGAGGGAGGGCAGTGGGACTTGGAGAAAGGGAAGGTGCGGGTTGGCAAGTCAGGGGGGCGTGGCACCGAGTTGGGCCTGGAACCAGGGTTTGGCATTTGCCAGATGACAGGGGAAGGCACTCTGGTCTGGAGATAGGCTCAAACACGAAGCAGGCAGATGAACACGGGCAAGTGAGGAGGCCAGGTGGCTGGAAGGGAGAGGAGGCAGGAGGAGGGGCAGGGCAGCTGGGCCTGGCGGGGCTGGAGAGCTGCCGCATATGGCAGGCAGGATTGAAAAATAACGATGTCTTCCCCACATAATCTTTTTTAAGGACGAGGGGTAGTTTAAAAGAAAGGATGCGATTGAGGTCTTAACTAAAACCCCTTAGGCAGAGTCGGAAGTAAACTTATCAATCACAGGGTAACCTTTATAATGACTGTAAGATAAAGTTTAGCTCTGAACTTCCTGTTACCACAGCAATAAAGGAAATAATGATGAGTTAAATACTTTGCATTGTCTGGCCATTTAAGAAAGACTTGGCTCTTAGAGCCATTAATCACATGGTTGAGCTGGTGGAGGCAGGAGAGGAGGGAGGAGAGGAAGGAGCAGAAGAGCCCGGGAGAGGCAGGTGTGTCACTCACCCATCACATTTCACCTATGTCATCACTTACCTTTCAGCAAGATGTGGGGAACCAGGGCTCAGAGGTGAGAAGTCACTGGCCAGGTCACCCCGAGCTGCAGGGATGCTAAGGACCCTCCAACTTTGAAGGCGGAGGGGTGGGGTAAGCAGGGCGTTCCCTCAGGACGGAGTGGGAGGTGGGAGGGTGGGTGATGGACAGCGGTCTGGAGCCAGGCGAAGGGCCTTGACAGGCGAGGCTGTCTTGCTCCAGGACCACAGCAGCCGCTCTTAGGGACCTCCTGAGCCACGGTACAGCAGTGGGTACCACACTGGGGCCCCCTCTGCCTGGAGAGGCCAGGGACAGAGGGTGTTGCAAGGTCAAAGAAGTTTCCAGGCTGCCAGGGACAGGCAGGAGGGATGGCGTGGGCACCGGCCTGGAGATGGGAAGGAGCACCAAGTGTGAGAAGCGTGGCGCTCAGGAGCCGGTGAGGAGCGTCGGAGGGACTGTGTGTGCATGTGGGTGTGGAGGGGAGCAGGCTGGGCACAAGGACTGGAGCGGGGCTGGGAGGCCAGGTCAGAGGGCCCTCCAGGCCAGGCTGAAGCTAGGATTCATCCTGCAGGCAACAGGGAGCCACAGAGGTATGAACAGGAGAGTGAAGAGGTGGGGTGTGTGCTACAGCAGTGCTTCCCAACTTGAGGAAGAGGCGGTGGTTGCATGTAGCACCACCACCTGGAACCCTTGCTAAAGCACCAGTTGCTGGTGTCTGATCCTGTAGAGCTAGGCGGGGCCTGGGAGTACGCATGTCTAACCTGCGGGGCGAGGGACAATGGAAGTAGGAGCCCAGAGGAACTCAGGACTTGGGGGTGATGAGGGGAAGGTAGGACTGAGGCTCCCAGAGGCCCCTCGGGAACCCAGATGTGTCACACTGCAGCCAGAGACTTGAGGCCACGGGCAGGAATCTGGCTGTGGAGGAAAAGGGGAGGAGCCCGAGGAGCACCTGGCCCCCCATCTGACCTGGGGAGAGGCCCCCCTTTAAAGGCCTAGCTCTGCAGAGATGGCTCCCAGACACAGGACCAGGACTCTGCCACCCACTGCTCTCTATGACCTTGACAAGTAACACCCCTCTGAGCCCAGGTTTCCCATCTAAAATGGCAATAACGTCCAGCCTTATAGAGCTGGTATGAGGCCTTGGGGCCTGTGAAAGCCGTATATAAACTGTACACCCCTGTGCATGCAGGAGTTGCCATTATTGTTATTACTATTACTATTCTTTCTGCTACTTGTACTACTTCGGGGAAGGGAATTTAGCAGGAGGACATGATGCCTTAACCCAGAGGAATAATGAATGGTGGCATTTCCGGTACCAGAACATGTTTGAGTAAAAAGTATTTGTGATGGGGCCACAGGACATGTCAGGGGGTGGTGGCTCACACCCCTCTGGGATGTGGTTCCTGGCATGGGGCCGGGGGAAGGGCCAGCGGGCAGGACCTGAACCCTGCTCCTTCCGCCCAGACTAAATATTTGGGCTTCTCCTTCCCGGCCTGGCGGGACCCAGCATCCCCTCTGGGTGTCTGCTCTGGCTTCTGGGGCTGTGGGGGGTGTGGAGGACCCTGGCTGGGAGGCGGGGGGAAGGCGGAGGTTAAGGATCTAAGAAAAGCTGAATCCGAACCGTTAGGTAGAAGGTGCCTTCAAGGGCATGGAACCTAACAGGCACCTCCCACACGGCCTCCCGCCCCACAGCCCCCACGAGGACGACACGCTTTTATGGATGCAAACATGGTGACAACATAAAATAAACACTTGGGCTTTAACTACAGTTGTGCCCTGTCCAGGAGCACTGGCGTCTGGGCCTCCCCCAAGCCCTGTCCTCATCTGCCAGCCCTAAGGCCAAGGCTCACCCTCCCGCCAGCCTGGATGGGGGTGTTTGGATAGTTGTGTGACCTGCCCCCTCCACCCCTACCCCAGCCCCCCAGCCCCTTGCTGCAGCCCAGCAGGTGAGGCAATGGGGACCAAGGGGCCGATAAGGAGAATGTCCTCAGCAGTCACAGCCCGGAGAGCTGAGCGGATATTGATTTGGTCTACGGGAGCAAAGGGACCCGTTAAACTTCGGCTGTTAAATCGCTCAGCCTGAAGCCAGCCATCTCTGCGGGTGGGCAGGGGACCTGGCAGGCAGGAGGGAGCTGGGGTTGGGGGGCACCAGCCAGGGGCTAGCGCCCTAGTAGGGGTGTTCTTAGACACCCTGGCTCTACTGACTTGGACCTCTGATGCCCACAGGCCTGAGTCCAGCCACACCCCACTTCTTGGCAACCTCTGAGCAAACTTGCTGCTGTGCCTTGCTCATGCAGACTCCTCCCTTCCCCGCCTCTTCTCCATCTCTTAGAATTCTACTCTGTTTTCCAAACGACACCTCCTCCATGAAGTCTTCCAGATTTCCACTCCATACCCCCAACACCCTGAAAGAAGGAGGCTTTTCTTTCCCAAACCCCGAGGACTGCCTGTCTCTGATCTCAGTCATCTCTGCTACGCTGACTAGGAGTGGTGTGTGGGTCCACTGAAGGGGGACAAATGTGCTCCACCCCCTCAGACCCCCCACACAGGTGGGTCCTGGGAGTCCAGGCACCCAGGTGGCGGTGACTTCTCAGCACAGGAGAACTGGGTGGGAAAGGGTTGTCTGAGCAATGGTCCGATGGTCATGGGGAGGGGGCACCCGACGCCTGTTCCTCAACTAGAGCCTCAGGTGCCTGTGGCAGGTGTCACGAAATGCTCATCTTGAATTGCTCCCTCTCCGTGTGTGACACCCTGTCTGGTCATTCCACTGCCTCAGAGTCAAACTACCGGCTCAGTGGAAGGCCACCTGCATCCTGGGATGCCCATCGCGGACTTGGAGCCGGGCAGCCGGGAACTCAAATCTCTGCTCTGCCACTTGGGGCTCTGTCACCTCGGGTCAGCCGCTTCTCTCTCTAGGCCTCACCAATAAAACAGAGACATGGGCCCTATCCCTCCGAATGGTCGTGAGAATTGAACAAGGCACACACTGCAGAGACCCAGAGAGGGCCAGTGGCTGCCTGGAGTCACGCAGCAAGAGAGTGGAAAAGATACTGGGGTTCCTGTTTCCCAACACCCTCACCCCCCTCAGCTGCTCTCGGGCCTGGGGTCCCAGGCTGGGCCTGCATCCTGCTGGAGGCCTGGTCTGTGTAACCTGGCAGCTGCTCCCCGTGACCTGAGGAACAACAGACCATCAGCCTGCGCAGGCCCGGCCTGGGCCCCCCTGCTGATCCTCTGGCCTGACCTGGCCTCCCCAGGGGGCCTTATCTGCTTATTCTCTCCTTTCCCACCAAGCTAATCTCGCCCTCTTTTCAAGAGTTCCTGTTTCCTCTCTGCCGCCTTCTTGTCTCTCCCCAGGCCCCGCTTCTCCCATGTCTCCGGCCGGCCTCCCACACTCGGTTCAGACGCTTCCTCGAAGCTGTTCCTGCTATCGTCTTCGGGGAGCTCGTTCCCATCTCTCAAGGGCTTCCTGGGCCCCCCAGTCCGGGACTGCGGCCCCTCGCCACGGAGGAAGCTGGAGCAGGCCTGGGTCAGAATCCTGCTGGTGACAAGCATCCGGGCACCACGGATCAGTACCTGGGCCTTTTAAATTCTTCGGGTTGGCTGTTGGCCCCTGTAGGACTTCTGATGCAATGCTTTGAAGATCCAAAAGTCCAAGGTACCCAGAGTTCATGGTTGTAAATCAATGGCCACCACAAGATCCGAGACACTAGAGCAGTGGTTCTCAACCTTGGCTGCACATTAGAATCACCTGGGAATCTTTTTAAAATCCTGATTTCTGGGCCTCATCCTCCGGAAATTCTGTGTCTTTGTTACTAACTTTGTTACTAATGTTGTGGCCTCACCCCATAACAAAGAAACAGAATTTCCAGAGGATGCGGCCCAGAAATCAGGATTTTAAAAAGATTCCCAGGTGATTCCAATGTGCAGCCAAGGTTGAGAACCACTGCACTACAGCATTGAGGTCCTGGACTCACCCAGGAAAAGGCCTCGACACTGCCTCGCCTGAGTGCAGGCCCAGCCCAGCTACATGCTTACAGCCCTGAGCTGGCCGGAGGAGCAGTGCAGGGGCCAGCTCTCCGCCACGCCCTGGTTGCCCAGCCCCTGACCAGCCAGAAAGGTGCAGGGCTTCATTACAGGCCCGGGCACTGGCCAGCGGCAGGTGCATAAGGCCCAGAGTCAGGGGCCCAGGTAGGTCTTCCATCCTGTGCCGGAAATAGCCTTCTGCCCTCCATGCTGCTCAGCCCACGCCTAGTTGGAGTGAGGACGCCTAGTTGGAGTAAGGACACCTAGTTGGAGTGAGGACGTGTGAGAAGGAGTTTGGTGTCAGACACACCTGGGCGCCTGGCCCTGCCCTGCTATGAACTTACTGGGAGATCTAGGCCAATTGGCCCCTCTCAGAACCTCACTTTTCTCATCTGTCAGATGGTGATAACCATACGTACCCCCTGGGGCCTTCTGTATTTATGTTTGCCATAGCACACAGTAGGTGCACAATCAAGGGTAGCATTTATATTATATGACCACTCTTTCTGAGAGTCATTCTGGGTTCTTGGTCTGGTTTCCATTTGCTTGTCTTGGACATCTTTCAGATCTAACATTTCCAAGGCATGTATTCGGCCTTGACTGTATCACCCCCAGATCCTGGGCCCCCACAGGTGCACGGGGCTGATCCCAGCCCATGAGAAGGCCCCAGGCAGGTAGGGGAGACAGATACAGACACAGCACAGACCTCCACAACACCTCGGCTTGGTGCAGCATCAGAGCGGAGTGCAGAAGCTGTGGGAACCCAGAGGAGGCCTTGGCCCGGGCTGAGGGTGGTCAGGGAAGGCTTTCTGGAGGAGGAAGCCATTTACATGGGCCTTGAAGGAAGAGTGGGCTGTGGCTGCTTCTGCGATCATGAGTGCCAGGGCTGCTTTAAGGTTCAAAGGGTAGTTGGGAGCCCGAGAGCACTGGGGAAGGCTCTGTGGAGATGGCTGTGAGAGCTGAAGCAGATACGGGAGGCAGAGGAGATGCCTGGGGACTTGCTGGAAATGTGACTGGAAGAAGTACCTGGGGTCCGAGGGAAGGGCCTTCTACACCAGGGCCGGGAACTGAGCATTGGTTTTTGTGGGCCATGGGGAGCCAGTGAAGGCTGTGGAGCAGGGGCAGCCTTGGGCTTGTGAGAGTGCACATTCCAGGGGCTTGTTCAATGGAGGCTGAGCAGTTACTGTAGAGATGCTGGTGGGGGCCCCACCCTGGGATGTCCTGCAACTGCACCACCGGCCCTCAGCCCCTTATCAGCTCTGTGACCGCAGGAAGCCCTTCCCTGCTCGGAATTTCCTCGTCTGCGAAACAGATCGCTAGGAGACCAGGAGACCCATCTTGAAGTTCCTCTCAGCCTGTGATTCTGTCACTGTGGCCACCCCCGCTGCGCACTTTCAGGCCGGGACTTGGAGGATGGCCACACAGCCCTCCCTCCTCCCACCCTGTGATGGGCCCAGCCTCTCGGCGTGCGGAGTGCGTCCATGTCACCCCACCCAGGGTGTCTGCTTCATGTCACCAAGTCCTGCCCGGGCTCCAAGCTGCACTGTGCTCCCGCCTTTCCGGGTCGTGTCTCACCTTCGCCTCCTCCCACGCGCACAGAAAATCAGTTTATAGATTCTCCTTACATCCATTGTCTCGTGTGGTCCCCACAGCCAGGCCACGATACAGGTGACTGCTAATGGCTTCCACTCAGGGGACCTGCCACGGGCCAGGCCCAGGACCCTCTCCCCTTGTGCTCAGGCCCGCCCCCCCGCCTCCCGACAGGAAGTGAAGCTGAAGCTCAGAGAGGCAGCGTTGTGTGCACTGTGATCCCGTCTTCATCTGCTTGTAGCTGGGACCCCGGGGGTTCTCCCATCTCCCTGGCTGTTACTTCTCAGTCTCTGTGCCTCTTCCTCTTCATCTCCCTGACCTCTGAGTGGAAGTGCCAGGCTCAGGCCTTGGGGTGCTTGCTTTTCTGACCCGCCCCTGAGTGCTGATGCCCAAGTGTGCATCTCACCCCAGCCTCTCCCCAGAACTCCAGATTTGAACATCTGCCCATCGACTCAGCATTTCCACGTGGGACCGAATGGACATCGCCATCGCCGCCTGTCCAAGTCTGAACCTCCACCCCATCTCAGCATTCTTCCAAGCGCTCGGCCAAACCCCGGCAGTCCTTCTGGGTCCTCCTCATCCTCACACTCCACAACCATAAAGAGAACAAGTCCTGAGGGAACACGGCAGGAATCCCACTGCCTCTCTCTCCAGGCACGCGCGGGGGGCCTTTCCCGGCCACAGCCTCAGCCTCCACTACCCCGCTTTACAAATGAGGAAACTGAGGCCCAAGGAGGGGAACGGCTTCCCCACGGTCACACAGAGAAACCACAGGGTTAGCTGGAACCCGAGTCTGCGTCCCCAGCTCCCCCCGAGCTGGGTTTTCCCTTGAAGCGAGCTTAGCAGGTCTGACGACAAGGCCAGGCTGTGTGCGTCTGCGTGTGTGTCCCTGAGGAACAAAGGATCTGCCAGCTGGGTTTATGTTTCAAGACGTCTGTCCTCACCCTTGACCAAGAGATCTTATAGGGAGACTAGGGCCAGAGCCTCAGAGCTGACGGGGGTGCAGTTGGGGGTGGGGGGGGACATCAATCAGAAGCCGCCTTGCCTGGAAACCGGAGAGCCGGGGCCAGCGCCAGGATTTTCTGAGCTCTCTTGAGGAGGCCAGAGACTGCAGGGGAGGGCTGGGGTTCTCTCAGCATTTATTTCATACAGCTGTTTAAAAAGCTTGTTTAAAATATAGATCATTATATATATATATATTTATATATATAAAATATATAAAGAGGAATTGAGGCAAGCCACCCCAAAGGAAAAGCTATGTTTTATAAATATTTCTGTAGCTCCCACATCCCAGAGGAAGAAAACAAACAAAACAGAAAAACATTTACAACCCAAGCTAGTGGTTCCATGTGGTGGGCCCAGCAGGCTCGACCCTGGGGGGCTGGGGTCTCGAGGGCTGGGCCCGCAGAACACGCCGTGAGGGCAGGCGGCACCCCCTTCCTTCCCTCCTGGGCGGCTGGTGCTCTGGCTGCAAAAGGTCAAGTCCATACCAGTCTTGCCAATCCCATGCCCCTGGCTCCTTAGACCAGCCTGGAAGGCAGCAAGTGGGCACTCCAGGGCCTCGGGCTGCCAGGTTATTTTTAATCTTGTCAGTTCCCTTTGATGTCCCGGCCCTCCTCCTGTTCCTGGTGGCTTCCAAGTGGAAGCACAGCCCACCTCCAATGCCTGGCATTTGGAAGTCACAAGCACAGATCCACGCGGAGTCTCCAGGCCCCTCGGCGGGCCTCGGCGGGCCTCTGGGGGTCCCCAGGAGCTCCCACGGGGCGGGGCAGGCCTCACTTGCAGACGTAGCGCTCCACCGTGCGCTCACACCTGCGGCAGGTGACGTAGCAGCACCAGTGGTACTTGCAGTGGCACCGCTCGACCACGCGGTCCGTGTAGGGGTTGTAGCCGCGTCCACAGCACATGAGGTCGCAGCTGTCACTGCCGTGGGATGTCTTGTTGCATTGCCTGGAGGGGAGGAGAGCACTTCTGTCACCTCAGCCCCAGCCCAGCCAGGCAGCCCGCAGCAACCCCCACCGCGGCCACAGGCTCGGTCCCCGTAGGTGTCTTGATCTTTGGGAATGAATATTCAATAACCCTCTTCCCCAAGGGTACTTCTCACTTTTCCCTGTATTTCTAATTTATCAAAATGATGGGGGTGTTCTATTTCATGGAGGTGTCTTTTTTCCTGTTTCTTCCACTTGTGAATACTCCAAGGAGCCTCAAATCACTCGAATCATCTTATCTTCATACTTAATCTTGAGTTATCATGTAACGAATGTAAAGATGGCTTTTACTTTTAGATTCCCAGGAAAAAATCCGAAACAGACGAAATGGCACTGGATGTGCACAAAGTGAGCGGCTGGCACACTGTTCACGGAGAGAGAAGGTCTGCCACCCATTGGCCCCCTTCTGTGCCAGGCGCCTTTCTCCGGGATTTTATCTAGTTGGAGGCCTGCAGGGTCCTTGGGTTAAGGGAATTACGATGCCCATTTTACAGATGGGAGCAGGCTCAGTGAAGGAAGGGCAGAGGCCGGAAGGGAACAGCAGGAAGAACAGGTGCCCCAGAGCCAGATACCCTGGGTTCAAACCCCAGCTCCGCCCATACTGGCTGTGTGACTTCAGGCAAGTCACTGAACCTTTCTGGGCTTTGTTTAGTCACTCAACACCATTGGCCCCCGCAGCCTTAGGGTGGTAGAAAGGGGGCAGAGTTCATTTTATTCTGGGTCCCTGAAAAAGTGGCCTCCTACCTCTGAGCCAGACAGAGCGAGAGATGGTGCCTGGAGGGGGAGTTCAGGAAGGAGGGGCCTGGGAAAAGGGTCTGGTCCAGGGAAGACTCCTGGGACACCTGGCTCCCAGGGACACGTGGCACGGGCTGCGAGGGGCCAGGCTTCAGGGGTGCAGGGGCCTCTGGAAGAAATATGACCAGGGGGCTGGGGTTGGGCATACTGACTGCAGAAGAGGCCTCAGTTCGCCAGGTGGGACTTGCAGAGGGCGTCTTCCCCAGCGAGGGGGCCAGCCTCTGGAGAGGTACCACCTGTGCACATGCCTTTTACAGTTAAAAAGGCTCATTTACATCCACCCCCTGCACCCCCAAATCCCCTAACCGAGTAAAGCCTACATTTTCCCTCCTCCAGGAAGTCTTCCTTGATGCCCAAACTGGGTTAGGGCCCCTCTGGGCTCCCCTCATCCCTGGGCTTCCCTTTGTCACAATTTGAGCGCTTGATGTCTCTCCACCTCCCCAGCCTCATGGAACGAGTGTGAGGAGTGTCTGTGGTTGTAAGCTACTGAGATATTGGGGCTGTTTGTTACTGCAGAAAACACTGACCAGTACAGATGTCTGCAAAGGCCCATCCCCAAAAGAATGCTGAGCGTTGAGCATGGCAGGAAACCTGGGTTGGGGGTGGCATTCTGAGAAAGCAGGGAAGGCAGCTGGTGCCATGCGATGGGCCTCCTTATTAGTAGTTGGGGGCAAATCCTAGGGGTAGAGTACGGGAGGCTGGGAAAGAAGAGGCCTGGAAGCCTGGGGGGTGGGAAGAGGAGAGGGGAGACTACCGTTCATGAGCCTTCCATGGGACTGACACTACCTAGCACAGAGGAGCTGCTCCGTCAGTATGATTAGAGAGCGCTCAGCAACCCTCCCAGGTCTGTGGTAGTGACCCCACTGCACAGAAGACAAGACTGAGCCTCAGATAAGCGAAGGGCTTTGCTCAAGGTCCAATAGCCAGGAAGCTGCAGAGTCAGGGTGCAAACTATCCTTTCCCAACACACACACACACAGTCTCCACCCCCCCACACCCCATGGATGCAGGGAGACCCTGTCTTTGCTCTGGGGTCTTTGATGGGCTTCCCCCAGCCCCTTTTGGTTCTAGAATCCTCCTTTCCCCACCCCATTAGCAGACCCACCCGGATTGCCTCACTCCTTCCTGTCTCCCTGGCCTGACCCAGTTCCATCTTCCCTCTGCCCGACCCCCTCAATCTGGCCTCCAGATGGGAGCCTGGGCCTCCTCACAGAGCCTGCTGCCCTGGCCTGTGAAGACAGAGCCCCCCAAGCCAGCCCCCCTCTCCTGGAGACAGGAACGTGGGCTGCGGAGGAAGCAAATGCTGGCTGGGCACCAACTATGTGCCAAACACATTCTCAGACACCCTCACTCTGGTTCAATATTCTTTTAACCCTGCAGAACACTCATTTTGTGGAATGCTATTAGGGGCTCCTTAATAAAAGAGTTCCACAGCCAAACACCTCTGGGAAGCACAGCTTAGACAGGTCCTTTACTGTGGGATTCGTCGGAGCCTTTAATATGTTCCCGTGCCTTGTGAATCGCCAGAAAGTTTCCCAAATGAATAGGAGTGTGGAACTGTCTCTATTACAGCTTCTCAGGGCTGGCTTCCTCCAGAGCTATCCGGGAAATGCTGCTCCCCACCAGCTCTGCCGGGCACACAGTAGGTCTGCAGTCCTCGTCGGCTCCCTCCCTCTCTCCTGTCCTGAGCCGGCTTTAGCAGCCAGGGTGGGGCCAGCTGTAGGGACCTCAGCCCCAGCTCTGACACTGGGGCCCAAGGGGAGAGAGCTGGGGCCCAGGGGGTGGGTGCATGCATGTGGGGGGACATGGGACCACTCTCTCTCCACAGGATGCAGGCAGACCTCGCTCTCCTGCTGCCCCTCTGGAGTGTGGCTGCCCTAGTTCTGCCTCCACTCTGCGCAGACTTCCCACGTCGCTGTGGGCTGGCCACTGCTCCCACCTCCCCTTGTGCCGCAGGCCCTCATTTGTCCAGAGAGCCAGTTGTATGACATTTAACTTTCACTTATTCATCTGGCAAACATTGACTGAGGCTAGCGCCTGTCAGTGTCTCTTCCCATCTGTCTCCCCAGCCAGAAGGAAGGTGGGGTGGGGGCCTCTCACCAACCTCCATCCCTGAGGGGCCCCTGCCTTGGCGAGGAGCACAACAGCCATTCCCAGAAGCTCTGCCAGGTGGCACCTCCACTCAGCATTCCTGGGCCACCTCCCCCGACTGGGCAGAGACTCCATTCCCTCAATGCCAGCTGGCCGGACTGTGTGCCTGGCCCTGAGCTTGGATGGGGCATGTGTAACGTAGCTGACCCTTTCCTGCCGGGGTAGCGGGGTAGCGGCGGGCCCTTACCTGTCTTGTGTCCCGTGGGAGCCCACCTTCTCGTTCTTCATGCAGAAGTCAGGTGAGCTCTGCAGATAGACGAGCTCCGAGTCCTTCACAGGCCGAATGTCCAAGTCCTTGGGCACCAAGTGCTTGCGGGTGCCCATGGGTCGGTGCACTACCTTGGTGGCCGACAGGTAGCGGGTCTTCAGGTCAGTGGCCACGTCCCGAAGCTCCTGCAGCCCCTTCCAGCAGGTGCGGATGGAGCAGGAGCCAGATACTCCATGGCATTTACACTTCATTTCCAGAGACGCACGCAGAGCCTGCGGACAGGGGAGGGCGTTGGGCTGGGTGGTCAGGGCCCCTCCCTGGCCTGCCCTGGGACCCTGCGCCCCACTCCCTCAATCCCCTGCCCCATGCTGGGTGCTCTCAGAGAGTCATCGCCTGCCTGCTCTGGACTCCAAGTGATAGGGCTTTTTTATCTAAAGCTGGGGGTGTTGTAGGTCCTCAGTTCCTCCTCCAAATGGGGGGGGGGGCGGCGGGCAGCTGGGAGGGGCAGGAAGACAGTGGCATTTCAGGATAGTGGATGCCAGTTATACAACCTACTGTACACAAACGCTCTATCTAACACATGATAGGGCTTAATCAGCACCTCAGCCCTGCTCGGAGGTCTCATTCTTTCCCCCTCAGTAAAAGGAGGAAATGAGGCCAGACAGGCTAAGCCTCAGGCACAAGGCTGCACAGCCAGGAAACCTTGAAGCTGGGATTTGAACCCAGGTCTGAGGGCGATTCCAAAAGCCATGCTTTTAACTGTCCATGCTTTTTCTCTCACACAAAACTGGTTTTACTGGAAATAGGAAAAGAAAAGGAAGGGAAGGAGAGGGGGAGGGAGGGAGGAGAAGCAGGAGGTGAGTGCATGGGGGTTCCCTGGCCTGGCTGATTTTTCCCTTCCACTGCTGGTGCTCCTGCCAGGTACCCTCACCAAGCCACGTCACCACTCAGCGCCTCTGTCTTCCTATGTACAGAGTCAACACGGAATTGTCACCTTGCTTAGTCATGAGAATGCAATGAAATGACATACATGAAAGGGTGTTGTGAACTATAAAATTTAAAGCAACATTGGTTTTGAAAAACCAATCTAAGTAATAATCTGGTGGAGGAGGGAGGCTTGGGCTTTGGGGCTTGGGGAGGCCCTGGACCTGGCTTTGAAAGTAGCTCTGCTCCACCATCTTCCCTGGGCCTCAGTTTCCCCAGGTGAACCCGAGGGGCATGAGTTAGATCCTTTCAATTCTGCCTTTTAACCCCCGCTGCTTTGCACACAGGACTCGGATCCGTGTGCCAGGCCGGCCCTCCTGCCTGCCCTGTGCAGACAGCTACAAGGCTTAGAGGTCCCCTACACCTACCCCCTGCATCACCAAGATGGGGAAACTGAGGCACGGAGTGGGCAGGGACTTGCCCAGAATCACTCGGTGAGTGAGTGAGGGCACTGGCCAAGGTCCCAGGGCTCCTTCCGCCTCACCGGTGCCTGGAAGTGGGGCTGGAGGGAGTCCGTTGGGTATACAATCTGGACTTGGCTCAGGGAAGCCTGTGGAGAGCTCATGGATGAAGTGAATGAGCCCCTGCAGGACACGTTCAGCCTCCAGAGGCAGGAGGTACTTTTGAATCCTCAGGGAAAGGTAAGCTATGTCCCCAGCTCAGCTGTGTGCTGGCCCTGAACACACTGCACCTGAGATGCCATTTGCCCCTCACAGGCCCTGGGCGTAAGGCCGGGACCACTCCTGTTTGCCGATGGCCCCAGAGGGGACAGCTCTTAGCATCGAGCCAGGGTGAAGTCCGACGTGCCCCTGGCTGAGAACCCTGTTTGGACTGCATGGCTGTGCCCTTGGCTGCATGGGGTTTGGGCCTGGCCGTGGGTGAGAATGGGGCTGGGTTTTTAGACTGGGGGCTAGGTGAGGGGCTCCCGCTGAATTTCCAAGGATGGGGGGCAGGCCCCCCCAGGTTGGGAGGCTGGAGTCCTGGGTCCCTGGCCAGGCTCTGCTACAGACTCACAGTGTGACTTGCCTTCAGTTTCCCCAAATGTCCAAAGGTGGCGTGAACATCCTAGAATGCTCACACGAGGAAGACCAGTGAGACAGGGAGGTGAGGACAGGGAAGCCTCGGGACTTGGAGTCCCACAGACCTGGGCTCCGTTGCGCCCTGTGCCCTGGGTTGAGCCCCCTCAGCTCTTTGTGCCTCACTTGGTGCCTCTGAAAATGGGCCTCACGGGGCTGCAGGGAGGAGGTCATGAGATGCCATCTGTAGCCGCACCCTGCCCCTCCGGGGCCCTGTTCTCCGTCTGCAGGAAGAGACAGCAGTACCTCCTCACAGGTGGACTGTGGACCGCAGGGGAGAACACTCACCAGGCACCCAACACGGTGTCTGGCACACAGGTTGGCATAAAGGTGTGTTTTTTTAATTGTAACAAACAAAAAGGCCCATTCATTCACTCCCCTGATCGTTTGTGGAATGAGGTGAGGAATTAAGGAAAAACTGATAACAGATGTTGGGGAAAACTGTTTTGGAGGTTATGGTGGGTTTTGGATCCAGGAGGGAGTTCCCATTAGATCCCAGGAGGCAATTCCTTAAGCTAATGCTCATTGCCCCACAGCCCTCTCCATGCCTCCTCCCACACCCAGTGTGGGCCCAGAGCCCCAGAGGCAGAGCCTGAGAAGATGGCCCATAGGGACTCAGGAGCACCAACCCCCCCATTGTATAGATGGGAACAACTGAGGCCAGACAGGAAGTAACTTGCATACAGAGCTGATTGCCAGAGCCAAGGTGTGAACTCAGAGCTCCTGACTCCTAGCTCAGTGCCTCCTCTTCTCCGCCAACATTCTCCAACCCAAATCCCATTGGACCCCCTGGAGAAGGAGCCAGGCAAGCCCCGCACAGCTGGAGAGGGAAGAGCTGGGGGAGGACGGGAGCCCACCAGTGTGGGTGTATCAGGACCCATCCCCCCGCCACCCTTCCATCGGGGCACACTGGGTGGCCTTTTCTGGCCGATTGGCACAAGCACAACCATGTGGGGTGGGTGGGGTGGGTGGTTACCTGTCTCCCCACTTCACTGTTGTGTAGACGCATCAGTTTATTGGCTTGGGATCCTGTTTTTTTCACCTTCATAGGAGCATCGGAAAACTTGGCCCCCATGAGGAGCCCGTAGCTGAGGTTGTCCGCACATCCTCCCCAGCGGTTCCCGGGCCCGGGTGGCTCACCTGGGACAGGGCCGCAGGAGCAGCCAGGCAGGTCGCCGGAGGTGCAGGCCCGGGCGATGGCGTGACTGATGGTGGCTGCTGACAGCGCATACACGAAGGCGGACTCCCGGGTCCCTGTGGGAAGGTGCATGTCAGCCATGTGGGGTGACCGAGGGATAGCACCCAGCCCAGGCCTGAAGGCCTCTTCCTGGGCCCCCATCTGCTCTTGTGAGGTCAGGTGGGGTCAGGGGCTGCAAGCAGAGTGGAGCAGATGGAGGACAGAGCGTGGGCCACTAATCTGTCACCCCTACATCCTCCCACAAACACACAAGCTGACATTCACACTCACACTCACACACACACACATTCACACAGGACAGCAGAGTCGCCTCCCCCCCCCACCCCATGCACATAGGCACACCCTCACTCCCACACACTCATGCTCCTGTACCTGCCCCTGCCTGCCCTCCATGCAGCGTTAGGGCTGCTTTAGAGAGATGAAGGCCCTGGCCCTGAGCTCTGCAAAGAGCTCATGATCTGATGGGCAACATGAGCGTTCAAAGAGCCCACTGTGGGTTGAAATGTTTCCCCCAGAAGATCTGCTCAAGTACTAACCCTTTGTACCTGTGAACTTGACCTTATTTGGCAAAAGGATCTCTGCAGGTTTAACTGAGCTAAGGCGAGGTCATACTAGATCAAGGTGGACCCTAATGCCATGACTGGTGTCCTTAGAAGAAGAGGGCGTTTTGGAATCAGAGACACATAGAGGGAAAAGGCCATGTGACAGGCGGAGATTAGAGAGATGCAGCTATAAGCCAAGGGGCATGAGGGGCCAAGGGGCATGAGGGGCCCCGGCCACCACCTGAAGCGAAGAAGCAGGAAGACCCTCCCCCGGCTCCTTCAGAGAGAGCACAGCCCTGCCTACGCCTTGATCTCAGACTCCCAGCCTCCAGAGCCGTGAGACAACGCATGTCTGCTGTTTGAGCAACCCCTCGCCCTCGTCTGTGGTACTTCGTGACTGCAGCCCTAGCAAATGGAGCCCAGCGTGCTTCCGCGGCAGGGGGGCTTGGCCTTGGGCCCAAGCCCTGGCTCCATCTCTTTACTAGAAAATCACCTCCTCTTCTCAAGCCTCCATTTCCTTAGCTGTGGAATGAGGCTGAGAATACCTACCTCAGGCTGGCTCTAGAGTTCAACTACTTTGGGAAGAAAGGAAGTCTTGTCAAGTGCTGCACAAACATTAGCTATTGCCGTGCAGAGCACAGATTAGATCCATTAGGGCATTTCTGCCCATAGAAAGTCTCTCTGTTGTACACACACTCCCCAGATCCACCCTAGAAGCCACCTCCTCCAGGAAGTCCTCTCCACAGATGTTCTTTAGCCCACACAGCACTTTGTGCATCTTGCAGCAACTTCCGTCGGCCTGGGCTAGTGTTACCTGTGAACAACAGTCTGCCCCGAGGGTGGGTTCCATCACATTCTCATTCCGTACTCCCCTTACCCTCCAAGAGCCTTCCTGGCATCATCCTTCCCTTCATCTGTGCACTGGGGTACAATGTGCATTTGTGCTGTCATTCAGGCTCCTCTGCGCTGGTATATTCACTCTGTGTTTATTCATTCATCAGTTCATGCCTCAATACCCAGCTCTATGATTAATTCATCCACCCATCCATCCATCCACACCTCTAACCTTCTGTGTATCCGTCTATCATCCATCTGCTCACTCATCCACCCATCACATAGCCATTCATCCATCCACCCATGAATTCACCCACCTATCTAAACACATATACTTATGCCTGAATTCACCCATCCCCACCTGCATGCATTCCGCAGGCCCTAGCAGCCCCTGCTGGCTCCCTACCTCTCTCCAGGTCAAGCAGGTAGTTGGGGGCCAGCTCGATGGAAGAGCAGTTCCAGCGCATGTCCGAGAAGGCCCTGCGGCAGGCCTTCATGACCTCTCGGGCGGCGTGCACGATGGTGTGCATGAGCTCCAGGTTGCTGCGGCACAGCTGCACCTGTGCGGACACCAGGCCCTCCAGCTGCTTGCAGTGCTGCGTCTGGTTCAGAGCCAGGGCTGCGGGCGTCTTGGACAGCGCCCTGTGCACCGCCAAAAGGTAACAATGGTGAAAGGAAAGACAGGGCATGAGGGGCCACATAGCTTCCACCCGTTTGTCCTACTGGCCCCACCCTCTCCTCCGTGGGCCTTGGAGCCTTTGCCAGAAAGAGCCAGGAAACCAAGAGGCAAAGCCCAGTCCCCAGCAGAAATATGGCCCCTCCTCCTTCCTCCCCCTGTGACCTTGTGCACATCACTGACCTTTTTCTGGGTCTCAGGCTCTCATTCACAACATAGGATCACGACCTCCATCCTACCTAAGCTTTATTATAAGTCCACCAGCAATAAACCATTTTATAGTTTGAAAGGTACTCACATCCATTGCCTTTATTTAGTTCTCTCACAGCTATGAATTAATTCCTCCGTACTTAACATTCATTCAACATTGAGCACTCACAGTGTGCCACACACCGTGCTAAGTGCTAATTTTTATCATCAGCATCATCATAACACACAGTAGGAATTAAGCATTTACTAAGTGTACAACATGAGCTAGGAGCTTTCCATCATTGCTTCATCTAATCATTAAACTCATTTACTAGGCTGTAAAGTCCCACACACATGCAAGGGATTGCTATTCAAGGAGCAAAGAGCCACTCATGTTGTGATAAAACGGACTTAGCCGTTAACTTGCTGTGTGAGCTGAGAAAAAACCCTGTCTCTCTGGGCCTCGGTGTCTGCACCGACATATATTTCCCAGAATGGGTTCCAGTCCAGAGAGACGCTGAAAAAAGGGACCCGTGTTCAGGCATAGTTAGGAAACCCGACATACTATGTCCCGGCGAAAGGCTGCAGTGAAGCAGCAGGCTTGGTTTTGTTTAACTCCTGGTCTACTGAGCACGACGCCCTGGGAGGCGTGCTGACCTCATTCGTGCTTTGGGAAACACTGGCCTAGGGGGTCTCTATGAACCCTGCCGATTAGATAGGACCTAAGAGCTTCCCAGATCCTGTCCCTGGGCACTGGGATTCCAAGACCCCAGGACCAAGGGTCCATCCTGGATCTGCCTTGCTCCCAGGCCGTCTCTGAGGAGCGGACTCCCCTGGGCAGCACCTCCTCTAAGCGCAGGCTAGAGGGACCCCACATCCTTGAAGGGATTCACGTAGACTAGCCCCTGCCCTCAGTAACTCAGCACAGAATCCCCACCTCCAAACCATGAGCAAGGAGGTGTGTGGTGCACCTGGATGCCAGCGCCAGCACGCAGAGCAGACCTCAGGCACGGTTTCTGGGTCTCTCCTGAGCTGCCTGTTCCTACCTGGCCTTCTGAGCCGCTGAGGTCCGCCAAAGCTGGGGAACCTGTGGTCTACGTCCCTGCAGCCTGTTCTGGGTGAGGTGTGACCACACAGAGGCAGAGACCATCCCTCAGCGTGACCCCCTCCACCTCCGCCTCGCAGACACTGTCCACACACGCGGCCCCAGTCCGCAGAGCCTCTGCCTATAGGCCTCATCTCATTCTCACAACACCCAGAGGGGTGGGCGGGAATGAGATTATTGTCGCTCCCCCCTTTGTACAGAGGAGGACACTGACAACACCCAGGGCCTGTGTGCTCAGCCTCCTCCTGACACCATCCTCCTGCAGGCCTGGCCTCCCCTTCCGGGTCCCCTTTCTGCTGGGCTGGGAGCCGTCCACACTCAGCTGTCCTGAGCCGCTCTGCACTTGCCCTCGCCCAGCTTTCTCTTTTCCCCTCGGAGTCAGCTTTCTGTTTCCTAATGGGCAGGATCACATGGGATAGACCAGGAAACCCGGTACAGTACCAACCATGCAGTGGGCGCTCAAGCCACGTGGCTGCCTCCCTCCAGGTCTTCTCCCTGCCCTCCTGCTCAGGCCAGCAAGTGGGGTAACATGAGCCCAGCCTTTCCCGGGGAGCTCAGTTCAGGCAATCCCTGAATGGTGAGCGCTGTGGCTCCCTGGGACATGTGCTCTGTATTTCCGGGGAACCCTGGTGCCTGGGGGCCCTGGGCCACTCATCAAGCATCCTCCTCCCCAGCTGATGCTGAGAGAAGGTGCTATGAGGGACCCCGCAGTGAGAATGCCCCCCATGCAAGGCGCAGACTGCCCAGGCGGGTGGTGGGCACCTAAGAAGTGGTCCAGAGGCCCCGGGTAGGCACAGGATGGAGGCTGGGAGCTGCGGGGGAGAGTGGCTGGGACAGAGAGGTTCGGGAGGTGTGGAGGGGAGGACCGCCCACGGGAGTGTGCAGGCTGGGAGATCAGGAGGTGGGAGGCAGTGGATTCCACTCCCAAGGAGGGAGACTCGGTCATCTGGTAATTAGCGGTAATGACCGTATCTAACTAAGTCCCCCTTGGGGAGGTAATCAAGGATTAGGGCGGGAGGCGGGGGAGTTACCCGTCTGGACATCTCCACCCGCTTGCCTCACTGCAGCAGACCCCTAATTGAAAACATTTTGCTTTGTCTGGGGGTGGGGGCATGGGGGAGAGGGTGGGAGAAAGGACAGGAGGGAACAGAGAGTTCACAGCAAGGCCTGTGCCAAGGGTGCTGCTGGGCGGGAAAGGGGCAGGTCTTTTCCTTCGGGAGTTGGGGTTCTCTTGGGAATGTCTGGGGGGCAGAGACCTGGGTTTCTGTTTCGGCTCAGCTGCTCACCCAACATGTCCCCATCCCATTGTGTAAGTGGGGACAATGAGGCCCCGAGAAGGGCAGGGCCTGCCCAGACCTGTACACAGCCCACAGAGGCAGAGCCAAGCCAGAACCCAGGCCTCCCAGACCCCAGGCTAGGCGCTCTCACTCCCACTTGGGAGATGAAACTGAGGCCCAGGGGGGCCTAGCTTGTGCTAATGAACTGGCAGAGCTCAGGCTGGGATCCAGGTCCCCCACCGCTGCAGCAGCTCCGTGCCTTCTGAGACCCCGGGGGCTCCTTCCTGAGAGGCCCGGCCCCTGAGTGAGGGGCAGGCTTGAGGCTGCCCGGGGAAGGGGGGTGGCTATTATGGGCCCTCCCAGCCAACCTGACAGCCCCAGGGGTTCACAGGAGGCTGGAGCCACCTCCCCTGACCCCTACCCGGGGCAGAGAAGGGGGCGGACAGCCCACCTGGGTCCCCCCACACTTGCTGGTCTGAGACTCTCCTAGCACCTGACTTAGGTGGGAGGTGAGGTAGTAGAGGGGCACCCCAAGTTTTCTCTGGTCAGCTGCTTCCATAAGCTTCCAGGCTCTGTCCCCCTCCCCTTTACCCTTCATCCCACCAGGAAACTCAGGCTGAGTCCCAGGTGCCCAACAGGTGGGCATTCCCGGTCACTCTGGCACATCTGGTTTCAGTTCCTGTGTCACATGGCCCTTTCATCTTTAGCTCACTTTCCAAACCCCAGGGTAGCAGCCCCCTCCCCCGCCGCCCGCCCCCTCAGGGCACCCCCAGGACAGCTGAGTCTTCCTGGATGAGTCCTCAGCCTCCACCTGCCCTGTACACTTCCCTGTTCCCAGCTGTCCCGTGACTGCCTGAGACCCACAGGCCACAGGGCAGACAGCCTAACTCCAAATCCCGCCTCTGCTGCCGACCAGCTGGGATAGCCTGTGAGCTAGACACTCCCTGTGCCTCCATGTCCTCTTCTGTTTAATGGGGGTGATAGCAGAGCCCCCCTCATACGCTGGTTGGGAGATTTAAATGAAACAATATACACACAGCACTGAGAACTGTGTCTGGCTTATAGCGAGGTCATATGCAGTTGGCCTTTGAACATCTTGGGGGCCCCCCCCCCCCCCCCCCCCCCCCCCCGCACCATGTGCCGTCAGAAATCCGCATATAAGTTTCGACTCCCCCAAAACTTAAGTTGTCCCTCAGTATCTATGGGGGATTGATTCCAGGACCCCTGTGGATACCAAAATACATAGATGCTCAAGTCCCATTTTTAAAATGGTGTAGATCAATGCATACAGTTGGCCCTCCACATCCGTGGATTCCCAACTGCGGATGGAAAACAGTAGTCATTCACTGAAAAAAAAAATCCACGTGTAAGTGGAACTGTACAGTTCAAACCCGTGTTGTTCAAGAGTCAGCAGCGCGTGCACACGCGCACACACAAACACACACACACACAATTGTTGTTATTCTTAAACTCCACTCCTTCTCCTGCTTCCCCCTCTATCTTCAGCTCCAGCAAGAGTTTGACCGCTGTTAAGAGGTTTGGCTTCATGGAGCACATTTGCTTGGGTTCCGATCCCAAAGCCACGATTAATTAGCTGTGTGACCTTGGGTCAGTTACTTAACCTTTCTGTACCTTCGCTCCCTGGTTTGGAAAACGGTAGTGATAAGACTATCACCTACCTCCTGACTAAAGCTCTTGGAACACTGTCTGGGATTTACTAGCAGGCTCCTTTAATTCCTTGTTTCCCTGTTTCCCCACGTACACACGTACACACGGACCTGCCTCTACCCTTCTGTCCCTCTGTTCCCCTGGCTAGGGTGCCTGCTTTGCATTCCATCCTTGACCATAAAATCCTATCTATCCTTCAAAGCCCAGCTCACAAGTCACCTACCCGAGGCGGGACTAACTGGAGCACAGCCCAAAGTCTATGTGGTTTGTTTTCTTAGATGTGCACCTCCTCCAAGAGGCTAGGAGGTCCTTAGGGCAGACACTGAGCTGTAACCATTTTTGTGGCAGCCTGAGCTATGTAGTGGGGACAGCATGGATGTTGGGCTTAGCTAGCTGTCTGCTCCAGGCCCTCCCCGGCCACATGCCAGCGTGGGGGCTGTGCAAGCCACACACTTCTCAGAGCCCACGGTAGCACGGGAAGGATAGCAGTGTCCCCCACAACGCCACAGGAGCAGGCTCAGTTCAGCCTGCCGCTGCTTGGCTCATTAGCAAACCCTTTCCCTCTCTGCACCTCAGTTTACGTCTCTGTAAAATGGTGGTGGTAGGTGAGGAGGTGTGGACTCCCTGATCAGAGACAGACACCCGCTGGGACAGTGCCAGGCACTGGCAGTAGAAGGAGGGTTGCTGATTTCTCACAAAACTAATCAGGACCAGCTGGGAGGCCACTGCGTCCAGGCTTCTTACAAACAAGAAACGCAGGAAGAGGGGGTTCCCCTCTTGAATCACCAATTAATTGGCAGCTCAACCCCAAGAGGAGCAGGGCTGGTGACCTCAAGACTATTTGCTGGTGGCCTGGCCACTATTGCCTAGTCTCCAGCTAATCCAAGAACCTTCCACACAGCCTCCCCCACAGCCCCTCCAATCTGTCCCCTGCCTGTCTTAGCCGCATGGCTCCCCGCCCCCCACCCCAAACTCCAGACTGTGTCCTCTCCTGGACTCTCCCACCACTCGGGGGACCCCTCCACTCAAAATGCAGCCTTCCCACTGTCCCCACCTGTGTCCCCAGAGCCTCTCAAGCCAGCCTAGCACACCTGAAAAATCTCTCCAGGGTCTCAAATGTGTGTCCCCCACCAGGTGGTCCCCCCGCCTGGGCCCCCACAACGGCCCCCTGCTCTCCCCAAGGCACTTAGAGTTATTTACGGCCTGGGCTTATCTTTTCCAGTCCAAAGCGCAGCTCCTCCAGGACGGGGCTGGGCTGCACTCCTCTCTCCACCCTGCAGGGCCCACAGCCTGCACAGAGCAGGCACTCCCTTCTGCTGGATGGAAGG